GCTCATCAAAAAAGTATACTCATAAGCATGGTTAGAGCGATCGCTAACTAAATAATATTTCTTTTGGTTCAACCTTGTTCTCCAACTTTGTCCGATCTCCAGGGAAACCTTGTGGAACGTACCTAGTCCCGTGTTCTCTGCCATAGTATTAGTGATTTGCAGCATTAGACCATTGGATTGGTACATTTCCAAGCGTTTCGCTAGCATCGTCAATGAGAGGAGCGATTGTAAGCACATAGTTACAACTTATCAAAAGTGACAAGTGGTAAGTTGTAAATATGCTTACGATGGGACCTTTCACTGACGATGCTCATTACGATGCATGTGAAACGTTTGGGAATGTACTCAGCCAAGGTCTCCCTGACGCTCCGACAAAGTTGTGAAAATAAGGCCAAACCAACACTATAGAACTGAAGGAGAATTTGACCAAGCAGAAGGCCACACTCCTGATATTCATATCTACGATCTAAATTATAATTTGGAACATTTACCTGTGGGAGCAATATTATCAGCTATTATAAAGGTATCAAAGCTAATGAGAAGAATATAACTCCAGACAGGATATATTTAACTCGTCCTCAAAATAAGAGAATGCGAAACGAATAAACATCTTACCTTGATTATATCAGATTCGCTGTGGACGTCACAAGTGTTAATAAAAAACATGGGGATATTTGAAGAAAACAGCTCAGCCCATGAAACGACCTGCTCGGTGGTCAATCCATGCAGTGGTTCACTATATAGTGCAGCCTAGATATGAATAACACTAATCATACCAGGCAAACTGCTGCAAAAGAGTCCGGCAGATCTTGCGAAGAGGCATTTCAAAACTCCCCCATAGGGTAGGGACTCCCTGTTCTGCAAGATCTAATGAATATTCGCATGCGAATGTTGTCTTCCCTATTCCTGTTCTGCCAGATATTATCGTCATTTCGTGAGACCTGAGGCCTTTCATTAGGCGATTAAGTTCAGTAAATCTATGCCACTACATTTAGGCTTTAACTATATATATATATTCATACTGTAATTCCTTTAAGCTCAGTAATCTTAACAATTTCGTTTACTGTATTTCTCAAGAGGTCACCATCAAACCTTAGGACCCTCATAGGGGCAAGTTGAAATGTGAACACTACGCAAAATTGATTAACCATAAAATTAAGAACGACGGAGTAAAATCTAATTATCTTAAATAACAAATTTAATTATTTTTCAAAATATATTGCGTTTTTTTGTCCGCGCTTTACGTTTGCCCTGTGCACATTTGTCATGTCCTTGTTTCTT